ATTATGGTTCTTTTGAATTTTCTGTCTCTATCTTTGTGTACTACATGGTGTGACAATTTGATGTGCTGCATTTCGCTGCAAAGTTCTACTTTGAAACGCAGTCAATTAGTGCTGTAGAGAGTAATTAAATGAATATCAGGGAAGATTTTCACAACCCGGAGAGTGAACATATGCCGACCATTATGTATAGCTTCATTCATTTCATCAAGTTTAAGACTGTTGATTTTCAACCTCATGAGGATTAAAATCAAGTAACCTGTACTATATTTGGGGCTCATACAAACCGTCAGTGACTCTATGAATTGATAACGACAATGATAAATATAGGAGTTAGTGATGCACAAAACTGTCCTGAGTTGGTGTTGTGCCTCAGTCTATATTTTATTATAATCAAGTATGCATTAGGAGCTATCTATACAAGTTTCTTTTAACTGATGGACAATCTCATACTTCAGAAAGATATTGCACTGCACTCGCACGACTACCATAACAAATAAATGAATTTATTTCATAAATCATAAATCATCAGTGTTTTGTTCTGAATAACTGAGTTTCAGTGTGGAGCTTTGTAAAGAAACACATGTCAAGTCGCAACACTCCACACAATGGAGAAGATAAAGAAGAAAGTCAAAAGACTTAAAGTGAGTCGAAGTGTGAGAGAAAAGATACTATTACGGTTGGCTGGCTGGTTTCAACATAGAACTTTGCACCGATGTGCAGCAGTTCCAGTCGCCACACTTCACTCAGTACACAAAGCAAGAGAAGGAAGTAGAAAGAAAAGCAAAATAGAGACAGTAAACAGATATAAGAGGTAAAAGGAATAGTAATAACGAAGAACAATATAGTTTTATTGGGTATCATAAGTCACAAGGAGTGGATGCATCTACGCCAGTCATTGAGAACGACTTTTAGCCATTGCACCAATTGTCTCCAGCCTTCATTGGTGTTTACCGTCCCGAGAACCCCAACCAGTCAGGAAGTGTACACCTTCCCACGTGGCTGCCTTGAACTAACTGTTGTGGATTTCATTGACTAATGAAGCCATGTTTTGTTTTGACCACTACTAGCTCTTTTCCAACCTGACTCTATGTCAGCTAACATTGTCCGTCGAGGAAGGCGATGGCTAGACATGAGTAACATGCCTCAGTCGATGTAACTTCACAGTCTCGTCTATTGATTTCCCCTCTAACTCACCTAGCACTCGACGCCTAACCTCAATATTGTTCACCCAATTATACTATTTCACACAGGATAGAACGCAGGCACCTATGATCAAAGACAGCTAGGTAGCCGTTTCGTATCTTCCACTTTTAGTGGCCATTTATCACATCCATAGAGGACGACGGAGCGAACTGCTGAGCAGTACACACGCCCTTTGGTTGACAGCCGGATATCACACCTATGCCAGAGGTGGCGTAAATTGGCATATGCCAAACGAGCCTTCTGTATCAGTGCTGAGACTTCGTCAGCGATCAATCCGCTGGCATTAGTTGATGCAACTCCCCAAATAAGTGAAGTGGTCAACACGCTCCACCACTTCACTACCTATCTTCAAGCTAGGAGCAAGTCGATGTAGTCTTGTCTTGAAGCATCACTTTGTATTTGGCGGGAGCAAATTGCATGCCAAACATTCGTAGATTGCAGCTCAAGGTGTTCAGAAGACTCTGCATTTTGTCAGCGTCTTCACCTTGAAGGACTATCATGAAGAAACATGATTTAGTTTATCTCGGAGATTAAACACAGTAAAGGCACTGCGCCAATGAGAGAAATTTTGAGCCATATCGCCAACAATCTTCTCATCCCTAACCAGACAGTCCACACTTCCCTACGTTGGTGCTTCAAACCAACTGTCAAGTACTACATGGACTGACGTTAGGATCTGATTTCACCAGCCTCTACTCTACTCCAACCTGGTCTTCTGACATCTAACATGACTCAACGGAGAAGGCAATATCGTTGCATTGGTAGCACGTTCTCTAGGCATCGAAATTGATGTAGCTTCACAACCCCATCAACTGACTTTTTTTCTTTACCTAACGTTTCACGCCCAACTTCTATAGTATTTTATCATATTATACAACTTGACATGCGGGATGAAAGGCAAACATCTGTGGTCAAAGACAGCTAGGCTCTTCAAGTTTTCTACCTTCAAAGCCATAAAGAAAAGGCAAACTATTGCATAGTACATACGTCCTTTAATCGATAGCTGGATATGACGTCTATGTCAGAGATTAAGTGAGTTGGAAAATGCATCATAAGCCGGTGTATTGTTCCCTGGCTGACTGTCTGATTGATTGGTTTCAACATAGAACTTTGCACAGATATGCAGCAGTTCGAGTTGCCACACTTCATGTAGCAAACAAAGCAAGAGAAAAGTGTAAAAAGAGAGAGAGAAATGCAAGGGAAAAGGATAGCAATATGGAAAAACAACAGAGTTTAATACTGTACTAACCGTTCGCTGACTAGCACAATATTACGCACATTTGAAACCGAAGAATTACAATTATATGCCGAACGTAACAAGGTTGAAGCATTTCACAGCCAGATACCAAGTTGCCAACTATCTAACTTAGACAGCAGCAATGAGAATTTTGCACTCTGTTCACGCTCACTAGTCAGTATTACGATGTTTTTAGTCTCAGTGTAAACTAGGAAGAACCGACGGGTTGTAAAAAACCTCCAGCCACTTCCCACGATAGACGGCTAAAACACTGGAGGACACTGTTAGGAGTCCACAGCAAGACCACAGCTTTCTACCGTCCAGTTCCTACTTCATTAGGATACATACATCGGTTCACCAACTATAGCTGTTTCATAGGTTAACTTTGGTTTTAAGAGAGGTTAAGAAGCAAGACCTGACGTTGTAACTGAAGGATTTTTTAAGGATACTGGCGATGAGTCGTCGAATGGATTGAATAAGACATTAGATACAAAAAGGGGTCCCGAGATAGTCCCAAGCGATTGGTTTAGATCTTTGATGATCCCAGTCTATGCTTAGAGCTCACCTACCTGGTACCGAGCTATGAACCAAATTGGTTGTATGAGGGCTGATGATACCACCCAGTCGCCTGGGTTGAAGTAAGTGCAGCGAGATTCAAAACCGAAAACCATAAGCCGGAAGTCGGTTGCTTTAGCAAATGGGTGCTATCCCAGTCTGCAAGGAGAAAGACACGTCTTTCTGTGACAACCAAGGGAGTATTCGGCTGCCTAACGCAGTACCTAAAACTCTAGGTCAAATGAGCCCTAGTAGACCGACTAAACACCAGCAAAGATACGAAATGCTAGCATGACATTTGCAAACTCATGTCATCTCTGGGCGTGGACCTCATATCCGGCTGTCGATCGAAGGACATGTGCACTGAGCAGCAGTTCACTCCATCCTTTAGGATTGTGAGACATGACTGTTGAAAGTGGAGGGTGTGAAAAAGCTAGTCATTTATGATCGTAGGTGTCTGAGTACAGTCTTGCTAAGGGCTTTGGTCAGTGTTTCATTTAATGTGAGCAGACACAGACAAACACCATTTGTCATGTTACCTAATTTCACCGAACCTGCTTTGCAGCTGTATAATAAAGTGGAGTGAATCGTTACACGCTGAGAAGCCTTTTGATCAATAGCAAAAAATCTTAAAAGAGCCAGCTGGACATCGAGGTTGGGACGTCAGATGTCTAGAAGGACAGAGGGAGCTTCCTAATTAAGCCGACCAACTCATGGAACACAAACACAAAAAATGCGTCTATTTTACAGCCTGATGAGTTGTGAAGATCTGATTAATCCTATCTCATCTAAGTCTGAGGTTTGTCTGGTTCTTTCATGGAGCTCCACTTAGTCTTTGAATCGTTACGGAAGTCAGAATTCTAAACACCATATTAGTCACACTGATATCTCTGGGGTATTGACAGGAAGATTTGTTTACCCTCTTATTAATTGGAATGATTTGTGATATTTGCTTCTCTGGTACGACTGGTTTGGGTTTTACTTTAGAAAAATTATCTAGTTTCCATCCTGAGGGCTTTAGATTTATATTATCCCAGCTCAAATTCACTCACCAAATGTTCACTAAGATAAAATGATAAGGTTCCTCTTAGAATTAATGAAGTGCTAGTGATTTGCGCAAGACATTTAGTAACTGTAACAAATCTTACCTAACATGTCAACTTCCAAGTTCACATTTGAAAAATATCTTAATCCCTGAACCTAGAGAAATCAGACGAAAACTTGTGCATAACACTAGAAAGTCGTGGATTCAACAAGGGACACACAGAGACATTCGAACATTATCTAATGTCCTAAGTTTAGGCATGAGACAGGAAAAATTCCCAAATAACTTTAACTTAAGTGTGCAATTGAGGCACACTATAATAGTGAAATAAAAGAAATTACATCAGTTTTGAGGATGTGTCTATTAGTTTCATCAAGTTAGGGTGACTTATAATTCATCGTGGCTGAAATTACGGTCTCTGACACTATGTATCCTACAGATATTACTTTATTTGACCAATATGAATTTGTTCACAGCTCAGATTTCATACACAGAAAGGAATTATACCTCTTTGGGGCATAAATTTTCTAAAATAACCGTAACGTCCCTACAATTTCATTATAAATACCTACCAAGTTTACTATATGAGCCTCCAGTAAACGTAATACGTTTAATGGTCTAAAAATGTTTATACAACTCAGGAACTATCGTGCTCTTTATGAAAATGATCATATTGTTAAGAAAACTGATCTCAGAAGAAATATGGTAGCGTGATTTTCGTTTTATGAGAGAATATATCCGGAGGCTCATAGAGAGTCAGTCAGAAGCGCTAAGACCTAAACGCCATACAACCTGATTCGTTAGTTTGAATATATAGATTTGTGTACAACGACACAACCATGTGCGTTGTAAATCGTCTTTAAAGAGCTGCAAATCCAGTACACCTGCTAAGTTAATTTGTAAAAACTTCAGAAAAGTCGGCCATCTTGAACATAATGAGTGAACATCAACTGTACTTACCCCCGACTCTGTACATATTATTGGATGCCATTGGGATTCCGTCAGATGTGTAAATTGCAGCTATTTACAAGTATTCCACGTAGGATGTGATAATACCCTGGAATCCTGAGGATTTTCAGACGTGAAAATGATAATCCAGTGAGCGAACGAACAGTTGATCCCTAATCCGCGTCTGTGTGAGAGCTGCGCGTATGCACGTGCGTATGCGCATGTGTTTGTGTGTCGTGCGCGCGTATATGCGCGTATGTCACTAAGTGTGTATGAGCTTGTTGGAGGGGACGGTGTGTATGTTAGTTTGGATTTTTCGTGTGCTGTTTGTGCCCAATTTCTCAATTAAAAATCTTTTACATTCAGAAGCAACATTATTATATTTTTACATTATGATAATATTTCTAAAGTTTCAGAAGAAACTTCCATTAAATCAAAAAAGTTCACTAAGTTTATTGATGTAAACAGTAACCTCATAGTACATCAGGTCCCAAAATCTTAGTGATATGATAAATTCTGGTAAGATTATCAAAATGGGTATCGTTTTAAAGGAGAATTTCTGATCTGTTCAAATGTTTCATTCAATTTTTGAATTTAGAAAGTATAAGTGAAATTTTCTTCAAAGAAAAAGTTTGAAAGTTTATCCTCGATGCAACATCCATAGACACCAGAGTAATATGAACCTAAGAAAAGAGTTTCTTGCTCAAAAATGGCTCAAAACATCTCGGAAATTGATTTCGGTCCCTTCCAGAGAATTCCTTGTATTGCACTGCAGTGATAAGTTGTTTATAACGGAAAAAGATTTTGAAAAAAAGGAATGTCAACTGCGAATATTTCATTTCTTCAGGTGGAATTTATGGAACTCATACAACAGGCTGTCCTTATCAACTTCGTCAAAGTACACATTTTGATTCGAGGCTGAAGCAAACCTAAAAAAACATTGGATTAATGAAATAAGAACATACACTTTCTATTTTACTGAGCAGAAGGCTGAAATGAGGCTTCTGGATGTTGTCAGTTGACTAATGTTTTGCTTTTAAACCAACCATCAGAACTTCTCGAATATTTTCCCAAACTTATGGCAAATAACTACTTATTTCTTCTGTTATTTGTAACTGATTATTCCATCACAATTCACCCCATAAACCATGATCCTCATCGTAAGCATCTGCCCATTAATACTATGCATATTTTTCTTTGTCCTCAGCTGAAGAGAGCGTCGAGTCAGAATGTCCACATTTTTCTTCTCGCTTTGATGAGAAATCCATGGAATAGCTAAATTACACAGTGGATTCTGAATTCTGACATTGAAGTACAGACTTCTTTAATAGCTTTTCAATCAGAAACTGAAGCAAATTGCTTCTTAGCCCTCCCAACAGGAGATAAATATTATGACTAGGGTCTCAAGAACACACTTAATTTTCCATAGTGATGCTGTATCATGCGGAAATGTTTTTACATTCCAGATGGAACATAGAGATTCAAGCTTGAGCTTTGAAGTTTCGGTAACAGTGTTTTGTTTCTAACCGGGGGATGGGGATGCTAGTCTCACTTTCAAACTTCCTTCTCCCTGCATGTTTACAATCGACTAAGCGACTTTTAGGACTGTGTCAGTCGGAAATCGAACTCGGCCCAACTGTATGGTTGGTGATCATTCTACTGTTGGACCACTGAAGTGCAATTGGTTATAAAGTCCGACTGCTAATCGGGAAGTTAGTCGTTCGATCCCAGCCAGGGGCACTAAGGGTTTTGACAGTATACACATTGAAATATGTTCACTGAATATCGCCACTCTGTGAATGTTTATCTCTCATCATTTCATCTAAAAGATTCTTGATTCTATAGATTGTTGAACTGAAATCCCCTTTCTATCCCGAAAATAATTTCACTTTGGAATCATAAGAATGATGATAACGACTGAAATGTTATCCTGTTAAAAATAAAAACTACTGGGACTTTGGACTTTGAATAGGCGAAACATTGAGTCCCAGAAGGAAACAGAGTAGTAGTAAAGTGTTCCTCAATTTTCAGTGTGACGCCCTGGTTAACATTTCAATTGAACATAAAGAAATTATACTCAAAACTAACGAACTGTCCTCCTAGCACGAACCATTCAGTCGAATTATCCCTTTTAAAGGGTTACTATCTCCTAATTCCCAACAATAGCTATGTTCTCCTTACTGTGAAAATACAAAAATAGCCTTTCTATTATTTGGAATTACATGATCGGGAATTGTGCGTCAAACGCTCGACAAGCATTTCAGTCACATATCGATTCGATTATGAAGTCATAACTGGGAAGAATTACTCTCGCTATATTTTCAATATTTCTTCTTTCTAATGAATGGTACTACTCATAAGTAGTTAGGCGAATCTACGTAATTTTTTAAGATTTATTTTATCAAGTTATCGTCACATGATTAATTATTATTGGCAAACTTGACATATTTAACAGTCTTGTATTATGTAAATATTAACTATCTGGATGAAGTAGTCGTGTGACAGTAGGACACAGTAGTATTAATTCGCCCCTCCACTGTTCAATATTCTCTCAGAAGACACTGCTCACACAGCATACTACTTGCAAAATCTTTTCAGTAGCACCCACCAGAATGGGAACCAATTAGTTGATTATATTTCTAAGTAAACATAGCCATTTTATATTAACATCTTGAATTTTCTGTGGCTCATTAAAACAGAGCTTCAGGTTAGGTGTATAGGATGTGATTACTCGGAGGTTCGGGCGGGGAGGGGTTATGACAAAGGTAAAGAAAAAAACTATCCAGCAGTTTTAAGTCAGATTCGTAATTTGGCATTTTCAATTTACTCAGTTTGAAGTAAATTTTCATGATAGTTTCTTTCGCATGTCGAACCTGTTCACCTCACAATAGATGATGCAATTGATACAGCAGGTGGTAATCAAGAATATAAGCATAAATGCATGAACATGTACACGTTTCTCTGCTCTAACGTACAATCATGAGTGGTCGTGACAAAGGTGGAAAGTCTCGAGCGAAGGCAAAGACTCGGTCTGCTCGTGCTGGTCTTCAGTTCCCAATTGGTCGTGCAAATCGTCTGTTGACCAAGGGAAACTACGCTGAACGTGTCGGTGCTGGAGCACCCGTCTACCTGGCGGCTGTTCTGGAATATCTGGCCTCTGAAGTACTCGAATTGGCTGGCAATGCCGCCCGCGACAACAAGAAGACCCGTATCATCCCTCGTCACTTGCAATTGGCCATCCACAACGATGAGGAGTTGAACAAACTGCTCAGTGTTGTTACCATCGCCCAGGGTGGTGTCTTGCCTAATATCCAGGCTGTGTTGCTGCCAAAGAAGACCGACAAAGTGAAGGCCTAAGACCATCGGTGTGTAGCTTGAGAGACAGAGAACGTGAAACCAGCCCTTTTAAGGGCCATTTGTGTGCGTCGGTGGCACAGCGGTTATGACTCCCGCCGATCATGCACATCGTCCGGGGTTCGATCCCCTGGCGACACATACTTGCTATCAATGGTCGGCCTGCAAAATTTGGGCTGCCGATATCACATGCTGAAAATTCCATAACTGTGTCAAAAATTATGGTGTGGAATCAAGCTGTAATCAAAAAATATAAAAAAACATGCTACTGACTGATTGGGATGAGTGGTTGTATACCTCCCACATCAACTAGTAGTGCTTACTCTCCAGCCAGATCGAAGGGATGTACACATTGGATGGCCATTTTGCTTGTTTGGAGGCTAAGCTTATCAGTGGTGTACCCGGTTTGACTCAACTCTGAATAATCACTTGACTTCATATTAGATGGTTGGAGGCAATCGTCAGGAAGTTATGGACCTAGGTTTCGTGTTAGTTGGCACTCACTAGTCAGACAGTAAGGCGTATCTACAAACTTGAAGGAACTCATTTCCCTTCTGAGATTCGAATCCGCGTCACCCCAGTGCCGCCTGCAGTCAGAGACGTTACCACTGAGCTATTCCGGCTCGCGACTGACTTCATGTAGGACTGTAGTGGATACTTTGATTGGACACTAGCCAGTGACTAGTGACTTCTGACCGTGACTGGAATTCAGTCTTTACCAAACAAAGGACTAGACATACTACACTGGTCACTCACTTGTGTCCAATCAAAATACTTTAATTCGTGTTTGCTGAATGTGAATTACGCAATAACAAAAATAAGCATTTCAGTAATTACGGGTGAGATCATTATATTACATTTCTCGTCGCTGAATACACACACACACACTCACTCAAGTGCACTCGCGGACAAGAAACCACACTGTAGACTTATATAAGCAGGTATCTTCGGACAAGAGCACAGAAATGTCTCACATAATGTACAACTCTTAAATTAAAGAGACATAATTCTGGATCTCTGTTCATGCAGCTATCATATAATCAAATAACTTTTGGTTGGTTGGTTGGTGGTTGCTCCTGGTGACAGATAGAGAGACAGAGAGACTTATCAAAGCACTATTTTGGATCCATATAAAACGTTATAGAAGACAACCAGTTAGCTCTTTTTTCCAAAGTATACATTTATCTGCTAGATGCACAGACGTATTCGTTTATTATTGCGTAATAAGAAAGTGGATATATCTAGCAATGAAACACTACCATCCGTATTAAGCTGTTCCTATTATCAAAGATGGCAAAGCAGATAAAGTGAAATATCCTTTGGATGTACTTCAGCTTATTTGATGGCTGAATTTCAGTTTCACAATAGACCCTTTGAAAGAAAATCCTTTCAACAGCCTTTCTCAGAGTTTTGTTAAAGTATGTAGGCGATTTTATTTTGTTTATAAGTGGAAAATTTAACATAATTTTTACAAGTTGATCACGGATTGATATCAGTTAGAGAACCATTGAAAACCAGGGAGTACTGGACAGCTGCTGTTTCATCCTAGTTTGGGAATCATCGGTAGTACTCACCCGAATTGATAGAAGTTAGAATTCATGAGCCATTGAATCGGTTCCCAGTGGTTGAATGGAATACGAGCTTGCCTTGTAGCCGAAAGGTCCTGGGTTCGAATCCCTGTGGGTGCGTACTGTCGACGATTCCCAAACTAGGATGAAACAGCAGCTGTCCAGTACTCCCTGGTTTTCAATGGTTCTCTAACTGATATCAATCCGTGATCAACTCGTATAAACATGACTAACCCTTACAAACCAAGATATAGAAAATTAATCTGATGCTAGCTAGTAACTTGCTACAGGATGGAGTTTCCTTGAGTTCTAGTGAGAAGTTGTGACCAGTGAGGTCCAATTAGAAGTCACGTGTGTGGATGGATGTCCCACCAACGACAATGGTTGGGGTTGCGCTAAGTTACGAATTGGTTGAAGTTGGAATTCATGACCCACTGAATCGGGTCCCAGTGGCTGAATGGTTTACGAGCTTGCCTTGTAACTGGAAGGTCCTGGGTTCGAATCCAAAACAAAACTATAGATAATTTCTACAGTTTGTCTTTTGTGTTATGCAGAAATTAATCTGATAAATCATCATGTTTATTAC